ACCCAGGAGGTGGCTATGGGCCAAGTTGAGGAGTTTCATCTGGTAAGGCCGGGGAATAAGAAGTTGTTCCACTTCTTCCTGTCCCTTCTGCTGCACTTGATAAAGGAGATTATTCTTTGTCATAAAATATGGGTAACTCACTGTGTTAGGATCAGTACACCACTCCCCATCAATTTTCCTGACATATCCCCACGCATGTCTCAAGTTCCCGTCTTCTAGTTGGGCCGTCCCAAACTTACCCCGACGTTCTGGGGGTTCCCCGTTCGGTAGTTCCATATTTCCAAACTCAACTCCAAGTTCCGTTCCGCTTTCTTGTGGGTCCGTCTCATCAGGGTCGTCGGCAGGGGCATCACCACTGTCTTCCAGCCAGGGAATTGGTCTTGGCCTAGCTGATTGGATCGTGTTCCAAATCTGGAGGAAATGGGGACAGTCTCGTCCCAGTATGACAGGGTATGGCAACTGCTCAACCACTCCTACCGTTGAGCGGTAGGTCCCCTGTTCTGTAGAGATGCTCAATTCGACCGTCGGATAGTCTTTGGTGTCCCCGTGAATGCAAGTAATAGGTATTCCCTTTGTTCTTGGAATCTCTAGTCCTCCCGGAAGTATTGTAGGGGTCACCAGGATCACCGCACTGCCAGAGTCCAATAAGGCCTCGATGGGTTCTCCCTCTATCTCGATTTTCGTAAGATGGGGATCCTCGCGGGTCGGGACCCCCGCTGTAAGGTAGTTGCATAGGGCTTCATCTCTGGGGTCTACCTGCATGGGTTCGGGCAGGCCATGGCAATAGCTGGCTAAATGCCCTTCTTCCTGACAATTAAAACATCGCCGGGTTTCTTCCCATGGCCGGGGCATTGAGTCAGACTTCCCCCGAAGGGTTTTTTTTAACTGTATAGGTTCCCGATAATCACTATACTTTATTGGCCGGTACTTTATTTCGGTTTCCAGACTCTTGGGGCTTCTTCTCTCCTCCCTCCGAAAGTCCCCTTTTCTCTCCCTAATCAGGGCCACTGTGGCATGGTGTCTGTCCACCCAGTCCACAGCTTGATCTAGGGTCTGAGGATCCCCTTCACTTACTTTTCTTTTCAGGTGCACAGGCAGACTCCTCACGAAATGATCCAACACCACCCTTTCTACCACCTGTCCTGGGTTTAATTCTTCTGGCTGGAGCCATTTCTTTGCCAGATGTACCAGGTCAAACATCTGAGACCTCGTAGGCTTGTTTATCTGGTAGCTCCAATTGTGGAACCGGACTGCTCGTATCGCCATGGTTACCCCTAGTCTTGCCAATATTTTGTTTTTCAGAGTCTCATAATTCTCTGCATCTTCTTCTTTTAAATCATAATATGCCTTTTGGGCTTCTCCAATTAAATAAGGGGCTACTCTCCCAGCCCATTGCTCTTTGGGCCATGCATTTCGAGTTGCAGTTCTTTCAAAGGTGGTTAAATACGCTTCCACATCATCAAGCTCAGTCATCTTTTCTAGTGTAATTTGTTCTTCCTGGTGCCTCTCCCCGCTACCGGGGCCTGCCGGATTTCTTCCCTTAACCTGCACAACTCTGCGCGTATTAATTTTTGCTCCTCTATAATTCGTTCGTTGGTTTCTTTTTGGATTTGGTTCGCCTCCA